CACATAGACCATACAGATCACCAGTAAGTAATCATGTGGCAAAATGTTCTAAATGAGATTTTAATTCTAAGATGGTTAACAAACAAAAACATAGGCAATTACGGGGTAAACTTAGATTTTAATTGAAATGGAGATAATTAATCATTTGCATGAAATAAAGACAATAGAAATTAAGCCAGTGAAACGTAAACTGTTTCCTACTAGTGAAGAATGACAAAGAAACTCAGACAGTGAGTTTTTGTATGTGAACTTCCTAAGCTACAGTTTCCTTACCCAAATGAATTAGAATTATCTTGCCCACTGTGCCAGCTCATGCCACTGAATAAAATGTTCTACTTTAGGTTATCATAAGCTATATCACAGAATATCTGCAGCTCCCATGCTGGTAATAAGCTATTTGACATAAGTTAAGGAAATGGCTTCAATTTACATTCAATTTAAAAGATAATTAAAGTACTAATTAGTTTCAAGACATGCTTCTTGAAGAAGTCATACTTCAGAAAATATTTCATTAAAAAGAAGAAATTTAAACATTTTAAAAAATTTCAGGTTACATGTATATGGTTAAGACTTAATGCAAAACAGCATTTCAATACTCCAATACAAACAGCATCCATAGAAATTATCGTTCAAATATCACCCAAGTAGAATAATGCAAAAAGTTTTCTAATTATGCTGAAACCGTTTGGCTCAATGGATAGAGCGTCAGCCTGTGGACTGAGAGGTCCCAGGTTCGATTCCGGTCAAGGGCATGTACATTAGTTGTGAGCACATCCCCAGTTAAGGGTGTGCAGAAGACAGCTGGTCGATGTTCCTCTCTCATCGATGTTTCTAGCTCTCTATCCCTCTCCCTTCCTTGCTGTAAAAAAATCAATAAAATATTTTTTTTTAAAAAGTTTTCTAATTATGTGAGGAACACTTTTATCATTGTACCTTAACATAAAATTACATGATCTCAGATCATAATTTATAAGACATACTTCCTAAGATCAAAGCATTATTTAAAATAAATTAATACATAAATTAAATACACACCATAGGGGAGGGAAAACTTTTTCTCAATCCTCTTAAAATCCCTGGCTGGACCTGAATATTAAACTGACAAGAAAGATTAAAAGGAGAAAAGCATAAACATTTATTTAATATAAGTTTTATGTGACAAAGGAGTCTTCACAAGGAAATAATGACCCAAGAAATGGTTAAGCCTGAGCCTTTTTATACTATGTCTGATGAAAAGTGGAAAGTCCTGGAAAACATAATAGGATAAAGGATATAGGAGCCAAGAGTAGTAAACTGGGGGAAACATAGCAAGGCCTGTTTCTTTGAGTTCCTCTGCAGGCGTCCTCAAACTTTTTAAAGTGGGGGCCAGATCACGGTCCCTCAGAGAGCTAGAGGCCTGGACTATATGAACTACTAATTCCTACTGTAACACCTCGGCTGCGCTCACTGCCCAAAAAACCTGGCGGGCCGGATCAGACTCCTCTGCGGGCCGCATGTGGCCCGCGGGCCGTAGTTTGAAGACGCCTGCTCTAGGGATTCTTATCCCTCTGGGTACACGGAAGGCAACTCTCACATGAGGGTCATATATGAAAAGCTTCAGGGAGAAGAGGGAGGCTACAGAGGCGTCCTTGCACTTGCCATTTCTCAAATTTCTTCAACCTAAAATGTTCTATCATATCACCTTGTGTACATGTCCTGAATGCTATCAACACAAAATGAAAAAAAATACTACAAATTACACTCTCTTCATTATGTATTATACTATATAATAAAAGTCTAATATGCTAAGTGTCTGATCAACCAGTCTGCTGTTCAACCAATCAAAGTGTAATATGCTAATGATATGCTAAGGATACTCAACTGCTCGCTATGATGTGCACTGACCACCAGGGGGAAGATGCTCTGACTGGTAGGTTAGCTTGCTGCTGGGGTCCAGCCAATTGGCACTGAGCAAAAATGGGCTGGACATGCCTTGGAGCCCTCCTGTGGCCCCTCCCCTGCTGGCCAACCTCCTGTATCGCTCCCTGGCCCTGATCATGCACTGGTGGAACACCTCAGCCTGCCCTGTGCCCTCTCACAATCTGGGACCCCTCAGGGGATATCAGAAAGTTAGTTTTGGCTTGATTCCGCAGGCCAGGCTTAGGGACCGCACTGGTGCACAAATTCGTACACTGGGCCTTAGCTTATATAATAAGAGCCTAAGCAAACTTTACATCAGAATGATTGGAACAACTGGTTTCCAAGATGCGCACTGACCATCAGGGGGCAGACACTCAATGCAGGAGCTGCTCCCTAGTGATCAGTGCACTCCCACAGGAGGAGCGCCACTCAGCCAAAAGCCAGGCTCATGGCTGGCAAGTGCAGCTGCCACAGTGGAAGTCTCTCCTGACTCCACAGCAGCAGGCACAGCAGATCAGGATGATTGTGAGTGGTGCTCAGCCCCGATTTGGGCTCCTCCCTGGCCGCTTGCCATTTGGCACACTGCTACATCCCCCGAGGGGTCCCGAACTGTGAGAGGATGCAGGCTAGACTGAGCAACCCTCCCTCCCAGTGTACAAATTTCGTGCACTGGGCCCCTAGTTTAGTATACTAGAGCACAGTGAAAAAAAGCATACACAAGTACTAATCAAAAGAAAATAGTTATATTAATATCAAACAAAATAAAACAATAAGTATTACCAAGACTAAAGAAGTACTACATTAAAGAGTTTTTTTCTCTAATAAGACATAAGCAATACAAATATATAAGTACTTAACAAGTCTCAAAATCATCAATCATATGATGAAAAATCATCAGAAAAATCCCTAATTATTGCTGGAAACTTCACTATCTCTCTCAGCGATCAGGAGAATAAGCATCCAGGAAAATCAGCAAAGATATAGAAGATTCAATATATCAATCAATTTGACCTGACATTTATAGAAAATCTAACATGGCAGAATACACAATTTTTTCAAGTGCACATGGCACATTTACCAGAGATGACTCTATTCAGGTCCATAAAACAAATCTCAACATATTTATAAAGACTGAAATTTTACAGATTATGTTCTCTTACTGTAACAGAAACAAACCAGAAATTAGTAACAGAAAGGTATCTAGAAAATCCTCAAATGCTTCTCAATAACCTATGGTTCAGCCAGGGCAGGTGTGGCTCTGTTGGCTGGGCGTCATCCTGTGTACCAAAAGGTTGCTGGTTGGATTCCTAGACAGGGCACATGCCTGGGTTTCAGGTTCAATCCCTGGCATGCAAGAGGCAGCTGATTATTGTCTCACTCTCACATCGATGTTTCTTTCTCCCTCTCCCTCTAAAATAATAATTTTTAAAAATCTCTTTAAAAAAGAAAAGTATTATTCTTTAACATAACTGCAACACTCTTCTACCAGATGAGAATGCTGGTCAAGAAGTCGGGTGCTGGTATATTCATCTAATTATTTTAGTTAGGTAGCCTATTTTCTTTACTTTCTGGAAACATCAGATTTTTTTCCTTCATTCTTGGTGTTAATTTTACAAAAATGTACAGAAATGTACTTTCTGTTTTGTATTATATTGTTTTCTTTATTTTTATTTTATTTTATTTTATTTTTTAATATATTTTATTGATTTTTTTTTACAAAGAGGAAGGGAGAGAGATAGTGTTAGAAATATCGATGAGAGTCATCAATCAACTGCCTCTTGCACGCCCCCTACTGGGGATGTGCCCGCAACCAAGGTACATGCCTTTGACCGGAATCGAACCTGGGACCTTTCAGTCCGCAGACCAACGCTCTATCCACTGAGCCAAACCGGTTTGGGCTGTTGTTTTTTTAATACTGAGCACTCTGAATCAGAAACAGAATGCTATGCATCTGGTGTTTAATGATTTTTTTTTTTTTTTTGGTTGGGGTTATAGAACTTGGGATAATGTTTTGCTGTCACCTTTTTATTTATTACTAGAGGCCTGATGCATGAAATTCATGCAAGAGTAGGCCTTCCTTCCACCGGCTTTTGGCTCCCGCTTCCCTCTGGCACCTGGGACCCAGGCTTCCCTCCAGCTGCAGGCAGGCACCCGAGACCTGGGCTTCCCTCCAGCTGCAGGCAGGCACATGCAACCTGCGTTTCCCTCGCAGCCCCAGCTTCGTCCAGAAGGACGTCTGGTCTAATTAGCATATTATACTTTTATTATTATAATATAGTGGCCCAGTTCACGAAATCCATGCAGAGGGGGGTATCTCTCTCAGCTGGCCTGCATCCTCTCCATTCTGAGACCCCTGTGGGATTGGGCCTAAGCTGGCAGTCAGACAACCCCCTCGCAATCTGGGACTGCTGGCTCCTAACCACTCACCTGACTGCCTGCTTGATCACCCCTAACCAGTCTGCCTGCTGGCCTGATTGCCCCCAACTGCATCCCCCTGCCGGCTTGCTCACCTCAAACTGGTTCTCTCTGCCAGCCTACTCACCCTCAACTGCCCCCTGCCAGTCTGATCACCCCCAACTCCCTCCCCTCCTGGCCTAATCACCCTTAACTGCCTCTGCCTCGGCCCTGCCACCATGGCTTTGTCCAGAAGGACTTCTGGAAGGTCTCATGGCCTAATTAGCATATTACCCTTTTATTAATATTGATAGAATATGACATACTGCCATAACTATAACATATGTACCAGTATTACTCTATGAGAATACATACTTCATGCAATAGGAAGGCATATAATATATTACATTGTATATATTGTAAGTAGTAGAAAATACTGTATTCATAGCAATTATACACCCTGTGACTTCACTTCCTGATTTGAGAATGGTTTCGCGGTTCTTTGAACGTTTCCTGGCCCCTAATGTATTTTTTGTGTGTGTGTGTCATTCAGTGTGACTTTATTTACTGTTTATTGCACATGATTTGAGGTCTTTAATTTCTAACCACCAAAGATTCAAAGGACTATATTTTCTATTAAGTTTAACACTAACATCAGTGAATTCATGTATCCATGTGTTTTTATTATAAATGTCTGAATTACTCACATTGTCACAGATCCTCTCCTCATAAGAGTGTTCCATGCTCAGGCTGGCAGCAAGCCAGGAAGCCACTCTGTAAGCAAACAGATACTCTGCATAAGAAGAAAAGTCATAGCACAACATTTATTCCCCAACCTGAGTCACATGAAAATGTTATATATATTGACTTCTTAATTCATATAGTATCAGGAACTCAACCGCTTGGTTGGAGATGGGTTGACCTGGTTTCAGGTGGATTATTCCTGAAATAATTAAGGAAAGGGGGGCTCAATCTTTTCTTGGTTGCTTGCTCCTCTCCAGCACCTTCATCTTTCTTCTCGTCCTCAGCTTCTGAGGCATCTTCTCTTCACCTTCACCTCCTTCTTCCTCCTTTGCATCCTCAAATTTTTCCTTAGCACCTTCTTCCTCTTCCTCAGCCACTTCCTTCTCCTCCTCTTCTTCAGCTTCTCCTTCAGAAGGGGGTTGGTTCATCCTTAGCTTCCTTGGCTTTTGCAGCCTCAATGGTCTCCTCTACCTTGACCTGCTCCTCCTGGATGTTGCTGGTGTATTAAGAAGGGAAGGAGTGAGCGGACATCAAGTAGGAGCTAATCTGTAAACCACCATAGGCAGATCAACCAAAGATCTGGGAACTCTGGGTGTAGCCACTGGCTCTGCTTCCCATGCTAGTGAAACTGAGCTGGGTCTCCTCACCTTTGAAGAGTTTCCTGAAAGCTGCAATGTCAATGTCCAAAGCCACATTGAGGAGGTCCTGGTATTCTTTTTAATATCATGCCATTTCACTCTGTAGTTCTCAACTCATTTTCTAATTTGTTGATGTGTCCTGCATAGCACCTACGTTCTGCTTATCCTCCAGCTCTCACAGCTGCTCTTCCAGAGCTTAGTTCATGCCCCAGCATGCTTTGATCTCCAGGGTCTTGGCCTTGAGCAGGCAGTGGCTTTCAGACACCTCGTCCTTGGTGGTGCGCACCCCATAGGTGTTCTTCGCAGCATGGTGAGTAGCTCTTAAACCATTCTTCTTCATTCTGAATGTCCTTGGCAGCCAGTTTCTCCTACTGGGCACCGATGTCCTTGAGTGCTGCAGAGGTCGGACTTGGAGAACATGTCCATCTCCATGGAGATATGAGCATCCTGGATCTGCACTTGCAACTCAGAGATCTCCTCTTCATGCTCCTTCTAAAGAAAGGCGATTTAGTCCATCAGGCTGTTGGTGTGCTTTTCAAGCTCAGCGCCAGCAAGAGCCGCCTCGTCTGCACCTTTGAGCACCTCTATCAGCCAGCCCTTGGCATCATCATGGCTCAGCACCTCTTCCTGGTAGCATGTCTGCATGTTGCTTCCAGTCCCTTCCAAGCCCTGGTGCCTGCTAACTGCCCAATGCCCTCTCCACGCCAGGGACTTGGCGAAGTGGGCTGGGGCACAGGCATCACATTTTCATTAAAATGTTCAACCCCGGCCTGATTCATCTGAGTCCACAGGCGGCCCGGGGCAGACAGTGATCCCAGAGACCCTGGCCAACCCTGCCTACCTGGGTCCCCGATGGCAGCCTTGACCCAGAGGGCAGCATCAAGCACTGCCTGTCATGCCAGCCCAGTCCCTGATGGCAGCCTGGACCAAGTGGGTGGCGTCAGGCGCTGCCCACCAGTGTCCCCAATGGTGGCTTGGAGCCTGCAGGTGGCAACAGGTGCTGTCTGTCCAGCTTACGCCATTACTAATGGTAGGCTGGACCCCGCAGGTGGTGTGAGGCACTGCCCGCCAGGACTGCCCTGTCTGAGATGGTGACCTGGACCCTGCAGGTGGCGACAGGCACTGCCATCCATACCTGCCCCACCCTGATGAATGCCTAGATCCTACGGATAATGTCAGGTGCTACTCCCCACCCTCACCCCTGCTTGCCTGGTTACCGATGGTGGCCTTGACCCAGCTAATGGTGTCAGGCACTGCCCACCTGGCCTACCCGGTCCCCCATTGTGGACTGGACACTGCAGAAGCATCAGACACAGCCTGCCCCTCCTGCATATGCAAATTCACCCTCCATCTTTGTTGGCTTAATTTGCATGTCACTCCTGATTGGCTGTGGGCATAGCGAAGGTATGGTCAATTAGCATTTTTCTCCTTTATTAGTGTAGATATTGCTTGAAAGAGTTCATAATGAACATATATTTTTTAAATAACTATGCCATCTATATATATATATATATATATATATATATATATATATATATATATACACACACATATATAAAGAGCCAGGGTCCATAACATCCAAAACAGCCAAAGGGATAACTGAACACCAGGCTGCACATGCAGCAGGCTCGGCTGGGCAGGGACTAGTGAGTGGGCTGAACTGCTGTACTCTAGGAGAGAGAGGCGGGGCTGATCAGCAGCTGCCATGGCTGCAGGAGAGGCCCGGAGAGAGAAGCAGAGTCTGATCTGCAGCCTCCATAGCAACTGCTGATCAGCCCTTGCCTCTCTCACCCTCCAAGAGATCAGCAGTTCAGCCCACTTGCCAGCAGCCTGGGGCAGTTGCTGATCAGCCCCGCCTCTCAGATCGGTCCGGAGACGCTGACTGGCATAGAAACCAATCAAATAGAACCAAATCTAGGTGAACTGCAAGGAGCCAATGGCTACCTAGGAGGTGGAGCTTTTGATGCTAACTGGCCTAGAAACTGACCAAAGAAAACTAAATCTGGGTTAACTGGGAGGAGCCAATGTCTGCTTAGAAGGCAGAGCTTTTGACACTGACTGGCATAGAAACCAACCAATCAGAACCTACTCTGGGTGAACTGCAAAGGCAGAACGTAAGGTAGAGGGGTTTTAAGGGCAACAGCTGTTTGGTATAAGGTGTAACAAAGCACTTCAATTTTTTAAATACTGGTTTGGCAGTATAGTGCATATGGCTGGCTGTCAGTCCAGATATAAGGATTATGTATTTTTGTCTGCCAAAGCAACTCCTCCTGCTGAAAAAGGTTCCCACTCCCTCATTTAAGCAATCATATCCTATATAATCTATCTATACTAATATCTAAAAGGGTAATATGCTAATTAGAACCAGGTCAACCATCCATCTTCCGAACGTCTGACTTCCTTCCAGACAAAGCCATGGTGGTGGGGGCTGAGGCAGAGGCAGTTGGGGGCAAGATCAGGCCAGCAGGGTGTTAGGGACAATCAGGCTGGCAGAGGAGGGTAGTTGGAGTAGAGGGCAGTTTGGGGCAATCAGGCCAGCAGGGGAGGGCAGTTAGGAGTGATCAGGCAGGGAGGCAGAGAGGTTAGGGGTGATTAGGCAGGCAGGCAGAAGGGTTAGGGGTAATCAGGCAGGCAGGCAGGCAGGTGAGCAGTTAGGCACGAATTAAGAGGCTTAATGCGGTCCCAGACTGCAAGAGGGATGTCCAACTGCCTGTGGAATCAGGCCTAAACCGGCATTTGGACATCCCCCAGGGGGTCCCTGATTGGAGAAGGTGCAGGCTGGGATTAGGAAACATCTCCCCGTGCACGAATTTTGTGCACTGAGCCACTAGTAAAAAATAAAAAGAATGACCCACAATTTTAACTAAAGAAATAAACATACAAACTTTGATTTTATCCTTCTAATTCTAGAAACCTATGTTCTAGCAATGGGTACAAACACATACATACAAAAATATAAACTATGGTGCTGTTTATACTACAAATTATAAATAGCACAAACATCTACCAATTAGAGCCTGGTTAAACATACTATAGTATATAAATACTCTAGTATATAATAAAAATGCAAATTGACCAAAGAGTGGAATGATCGGTCACTATGACACGCACTGACCAGCAGGGAGCAGACATTCAATGCAGGAGCTGCCCCCTAGTGGTCAGTACATTCCCGCAGGGGAGTGCGGCTGAGTGAGAAGCCAGGCTCACAGCTGGCAAGCACAGTGGTGGTAGGAACTCTCCTGCCCCCGCAGCAGTGCTAAGGATGTCCGAATGATGGCTTAGGCCTGCTCCCCTAACCCGCCATTAGGACATCTCCCGAGGGCTCCTGGACCGCGAGAAGGCACAGGCTGGGCTGAGGGACTTCCCCCTCCCCCGAGTGCATGTATTTTGTGCACCAGGCCTCTAGTGATTAAATAAAAAGTTATAAACTAATAAAACATAATCGTTATTATATTAAGAAAATAAATACATAAAAAAACTATATGTTTAGATACATCTATATGATGTATCTACATGAAAGAAAATGCAAAAAGGTCTGAAAAGATACATTCCAGGATGCAAAAATCTCTACAATAACCACTAAAAGAATGGTAATGTATAATGTCCAAAGAAACAGAGGGTAAAAATAGAATAATGCAAAATAGAAATGAATTTAATGATCCAAATACTAGATGTTACAATTGTAAAACAAAGATGTCCTGCTGATTTTTAAAAATCCAATTCTATGCACACATTAACCAAAAGAAGGATGACAAAGCTTTATCAAAATCAGAAAGCGGTCACAGCTTGGAGAACACTCAGGAAAAACATGACAACTAAACACAACATGAAACCTGGACCGGGGTCCCAAAACAGAAAAAGAACACTAATGGAAAAACTAGCGATATCTGGATAAAGCGTATAATTTAGTGAATAGTATTATAAAATATTAACTTCTTGGTTTTGATCATTGTACTATGATTATGCATTAACACCAGAACTAGGGTGAAGGGTTTACAGAAACTTTTTGTACTATTTTTGCAGCATTTTGGTAAGTCTAAAATTATTTCAACATGAAAAGTTCATTTAAAAAATCAGACTGAACTTTAAAACAAAAAGCATTACTAGAGATAAAAAAATAAAAATAAAAAATAAATAAAAAAAATAAAAAGATACTTATTGATGGGGGAAAATGTTTCAATTCTTTGGAAGGCAGACCAATTATAAAGCTAACTGCTTCTGCCGAAACCGGTTTGGCTCAGTGGTAGAGCGTCGGCTTGCGGACTGAAAGGTCCCCGGTTCGATTCTGGCCAAGGGCATGTACCTTGGTTGCGGGCACATCCCCGATGGGGATTGTGCAAGAGGCAGCTGTTTGATGTTTCTCTCTCATCAACATTTCTAGCTCTCTATCTCTCTCCCTTCCTCTCTGTAAAAAATCAATAAAATATATTTTTTTAAAAAAAAAAGCTGCCAATACTGTTTGGCTCAATGGATAGAGCATCGGCTTGGGAACTGAAGGGTCCCGGGTTCGATTCCAGTCAAGGATATGTACCTTGGTTGCGGGCATATCCCCAGTAGGAGGTGTGCAAGAGGCAGCTGATCGATGACTCTCTCTCATCGATGTTTCTAACTCTCTATCTCTCTCCCTTCCTCTCTGTACAAAATCAATAAAATATATTTTTTAAAAAAAAGGATTTAAAAAAAAAAAGCTAACTGCTTCTAATAATATGACCTCATAATTAATTAATTAATTAATTAACATAACTACAGAGGGGGAACAGAATTCACAATTATACAGAGAAATTTAACACACAGTAAATTGTCAATAATTGTCAATCAATTACCCACACATAAATCTGTAAGGGAAGAGATTTTCATAAAGGGCCAACCCTCAAGACAGGGAGTCTCTAACCAGGTAAACTCAAAACAGGCTTCATTGAAGTGAGCAAGCAATAGAGCCAGCAAAAAAGGAAGTTGCAGGCTTTTGTAATCTAATCTCTTAAGTGACATTGACGGTGTTTGCCACATTCTTTTAGAAGTCAGCTTCTAGATCCAGTCTACCTTCAGGGGAAATGATTAAGTAAGAATGTGAATACCAGGATTATTCGAAGGCTGCCTATCACAAGTAGTATAATGGAAAAAGCAACTGGGATATAAGTTAGGAGAACCAGATTTTAGGAAAGATGTGACTAAATACAACATCTCAAGGAATCAGGGTTTTTACTGGGGGGGGGGGGGGCACTGAGGGTAGCCAGGAAGACCTCCAAGATCATTTAAATTCTAAGTTCTAAATTTTGTGCTTCCTTATTGAGTCTTTAGAAAAGGATTATTATTAGAGACAGTTGGTCAAAATGCCTTATTTTACAAAAAAAAAAAAAAAAAGCCAGTTCCAGGAAAGGTTAACACAGAGAGATAGAAAGCCAACTTATTCTGCTCTTATGCCTAGTGCCCATTCACTATAATCCACTGCTTTTTCAATGAATGCCCTAAAACAGCACTATCCTCTTCTTAAGTCTTAAAATCCATTAAACTAAAAAGGAAGAGAAGATAATACAGTACTAACAAGAGCAATAAGAATTGACTGGTGTTCGCTATAGCTATCTCTGTAGGCGGCACATGAAAAAGAGCTATTCTCTGCCCATCCCAGTCACAGGGATCGGATATCCATACTAATAAAAGGGTAATACGCTAATTAGACTGGGAGACCTTCCAGGACACCTTCTGGAAGTTCTTCTGGACAAGGCCATGGTCGTGGGCCAAGGTAGAGGCTGTTAGAGGCCAAGAGGGGAGGGCAGTTGTGAGTGATCAGGCCAGGATGGGACGGCAGTTGTGAGTGATCAGGTTGGTGAGAGGTGGGGCCGTTGGGGGTAAGCAGACCAGCAGGGGGGCCAGTAGGGGAGAGCAGGATGTCAGCGAGGGTCAGTTGGAGGTGATCAGGACAACAGGCGGGGGCAGTTTGGAGTGAGCAGGCCAGCAGGGAGGGGCAGTTGGGGGCGAGCAGGCCAGTGGGGAGAGAAGATGGAAGCAGGCAGGCCAACAGGGGGAGGGGAAATTGGGGGCAAGAAGGCCATCAAAGGCAAGCAGGCCAACAGGCAGAGTGGTTAGGGGCAATCAGGCAGGCAGGTGAGCAATTAGGAGCCAGCAGTCCCGGATTGCGAGAGGGATGTCCAATTGCCAGTTTAGGCCAGATCCCTGTAAACTGGCAATAGGACATCCTTCAAGGGGTCCCAGATTGGAGAGGGTGCAGGCCGGGCTGAGGAACACCCCCTCCCTCACCCCATGCATGAATTCCGTGCACTGGACCTCTAGTTTTAGTAATAACATTATTTGCTGGAATTAAAGCATAAAAGAAACAAATAATAGATAATAGTGGAGAAAGACTTTAAACAAAGTAAAGCTATATGAAGTATCTAAAAATAGAAACTGCAACCAGGAAAGGCAAATTTTGCTTCCCATTGTGATGTAGGCAATGTTTAGGGTAGGTACCCTAAGAAGTTAATGACAGCAACTGGACCAACAGATATATCTTTATTCATACAGACTCAACTATCAGGGTCTAGTACCTCTCAACTTTTATACTACATAAATAGCCTCTTTGTTCCTGTATGCTGTCAGGAGCCAAGAGGGCAGGGAAAATTCACTAGTTAGAAAATCCCCTCTTCAGCACATACCCTTTACCAGCAATAGTAATTTGTGTTTGTTTTGCTTTGTAGTGTGTGTTCTTTTTTAATATATTATATTTCTTTATTGATTTCAGAAAGGAAGGAAGAGGGAGAGAAAGATAAAAACATAAATGATGAGAGAGACTCATTGATCAGCCACCTCCTAAATGCCCCCTACTGGGGATCGAGCCCACAACCCGAACATGTGCCCTTGGCCAGAATTGAACCTGAGACCCTTCAGTCCACAGGCCAACATTCCATCCAAATTGGCTAGGGCCATAATAATTTGTAATAACTCCAACCCTGGTTCAAGAAGTGCAGTAAAAACATTGCATATAAGTACAATTGTTTTGTGTGGCAATTATAAAGCAGAGGTATTTACCAAGTATACTAGTCAAATTATGTGTGTATACATATATGTATATGAATATATACATGCATAATTGTGTCCAGAATTTCTGTTTAAGAAAGGATTAAGGATAGCAGTGGGTTGTTGATGATAGAAGCTTAGTGGTTTATCTTAAATCTGTGTTTGTATAATAATCAAGTAAGACTGAAAAAATTCAATTATCCATGTAAAAGAAAAATTACATTATGGAGATTACCTGCAAGCTTCTCATTAGTTTTAGTATTTATCTAAATAGTCACCTAAATTCATTTCTCTAAGCCACCTTAAAAAAAAAGAAGTGTTAGCTTAAAATGTTAACATAAGCTGAGATAGAATTCAAAGAAAGTGATACTTTTGAAAGTTTTTTGATACTTTTGGTACAGAGTGAAAGGCAGGAAGCCCAAAGTAAGAGAAGATGACCTCGACAGCCCAATGGGGCACTTGGGGAGGAGAGACCTTCCTCCTGGGCAGCGGTGCCACGGCTGAGTTTCAGGGCCCAATCTGCTGGCTGTTATTTCCCATATTATAAATACACATACTCAAGCGGTAGATATACTTTTCAATCAAGCCATCCCAAGATGGAACAGTTCAAAAGACAATATCCATCTCGAAGTATTTTAATAGTACTTTATGCTTTTTAAAACTTTTTATCCAGAACTGTCTGGCTAGTTACCCTTTCCCTAGCCTTTTATGCAATATCAAAGAAGGCTATGACTCCTTTCTTTTCTCACTTCTTACCTCTCTTTTGTTCCTCAGTCTTCAAGGGATGGGAGAAAGGAAAGGAGCAATAAAAACAATTTAAACAAGTCTCAAATCGGTCTCTAATTAGTCTTGAGGTAAAACTGGAAAAAAGCAAAGAAAGGATGTTCAGGGATTTAAAATTTAACCCTAAAATAACACTGCACACATTACTTAATACTATTTATGTATTTATGCTTTTCCAATATAATCTATCTCAGTTAATGATTTCACCACCACCGATGAAAAGATTAAAGAATCATTTCTGAACATTTTTCCACATAGCAAGGGTTAGAAAACTATGAAACAAGAAAGAAGGTAGGGAGAGAGGCAGGCAAGTAAACAGGCAGGGAAAAAAGGAAGGAAAGCCTAAAATACAGGCAGCCCTAGAGTCACCAAGTACTGCTTTAACTGAAACTCTACAAAACAAAGACTGCCTGTGTTTACTATCTGGCTCTTCACTTAAAATGTGGTGACCTCTTCAATAAAGGATATCCAAATGGCTAATAAACATATGAAGAGGTGTTCAATATTATTAGTCATTAGGGAAATCAGGGAAAACCCCAATGTGATATCACTATACCTACAAAATGGCTAAAATAAATACGATAATACTAAGTGTTGTAAGCTTTTGGAGAAGCCAGAATTCTCAAACATTGCTAAAAAGTACTATTACTTAACACAATTAATTTGAAAAACTTTTTGGTTGCTATACCAAAAATACATACCTGCATATCTCCAAAATTCATTATATGTTAATGTCTACTTACGTTCACCAAAATACTTATAAAAATGCCCATAGCAGTCCTATTGGTAATAACCAAAAACTCGGTAGAATACCATACACTGCAGTGTTTCCCAAAGTGTGGTATGCGTACCCCCAGGGGTACGGGAAGAGTTTGGTGGGGGTACGCATTGAGTTTGCTGGGGATATGCACTCCACCGTGCTTAGCTGCGCCTAATTCTACGTTCTCATGAGTACGAGGGGTACTCAGCGTTACGAAAATTATAGAAGGGGTACACATATGTCAAAAGTTTGGGAAACAAATACAGAATAAGAAAATACAGAATAAGAAAAAACAAACTACCGCTACATAACTGTATAAATCTCACAAATACAATAAAAAATAAAAAAGTGAGACACAAAGGACTATTTACTGTATGATTCCATTTACATAAAGTAAAGAATAAACTCAGAGATGTTAAAAGGTAATGGTTATCATTGGAAAGGGACACAAAGTGGGCCTTCCAGGAAGTAAGTAATGCTTTTTCTTAATCCGGGTACTGGGTGTACTTTGTGAAAATTCAGCAAGCTGTACCCTTATGATTCATGCACTTTTCTGGAGGTCTGTTGCTTTAAAAATTAACACACAAAAAATGTATAAGCTCTGTTTTTGAAGGACACTTGTGTATACCTCCTATTCACTTTTCTGACTTGCCATCAACTCTCACCAATGCGATATCTTTAATTCCTGTTACCTAATGTAGAAGTTAGCTTTGTTTTCATTAATGTTCTTGGAATACTGTTGCCCAGAATTCCCAAATGAAAAGGTAGCTCAGTTTCACACTAGATCCCAAGGAGAAACTTTGACAAGCCAAGTTCAAATGAGCTTTTTGAAAAATCGGTTCTTGTGGAGTTTTTCTTTCTACTTTCCCGCCTACTAATGCTGTTGTCTTGTGTTTATCCAGTTCCTTCCACCCATGAAGCTTAAAGTACTTCACAAATTCTGCTGCGTTATGTCATCGTCCAGTTAGAGAAATTGGGGCCAAGAAACATTGCGATTCAAAAAATATGCAAACAATACATTTCTAAGGCATGACTCTGTGTGCCTACAGAAGCACCGCATTCTTTGCTGAAAGTTACAAGTGTTACTAGCAATGAAACACACAACGATTAAGTGACTTTCAAGGGCACAGGGTCTATCAGGACTAACTCGCTGCCACTTAGGGGAAACACAGGAAAACCCGCACCTCGGAAAAAATGCAAACTCTCCTAATGGGAAATAAGTGAAGATGCCTCGATCACACCCAGAAAGACGACCTGTGGACTCCACGAGCCTGACCTTCCAGGGAGCCCCGTCACTCCGGCCGCTCGGGGCCAGCATTCCCGGGTGCAGGTCCCACACCGCCTCCGCGGAGACGGCGGCGGGATTGGCGGGGCGTCCACGCCCACCCTTCCTCCCGGGCTCTCCCCCTCCCCTCATCCCCTTCCTCCCCGCGAACCCGTTTACCTGAGCGGAGACCGAGCGCGCCCCGACCCGACGCGGGGCGCTCGCCCTGAGTCTCTGGGGCCGGACACCCAGCGCCCGCCAGCCAATCGCGCTCACCGGCCGGGCTCCCCGCGAGACGGGGTGCGCGCGCCCGCAGACCGCGGGGCGGGGCGGGGCGGGGCGGGGCGCGGCGGGGGCGCTGGCGCCAGGCGCGGGGCCCTCGGGGACCGAGCCGACGGCGCTCCCCTGGGGCAGACGGCGCGCACCGGGCATGCGCGCGCCGCCGCCGGGCCGCGGGGCGGGGTCTCCCAGGAAGAAGAGGGAGGGAGCGGGCGGGTCCTCAGAGGAGTTTGGGACCGAAGGAGGCGGTCCTAGGAGTCTTCCTGAGCCGCTCCCCCCGGGGCTGCGATTGTCCGGCCCAGACGGCCGGCGCGAGCTGCGAAAGCAGAATATCGCACGGACGTTCTGCGCAAAACCCCGTGGGTCCGAGGAGGAGACCGCGCGGCTAACGGCGCGCCCCGTGGCCTCCTGGGGAGCGTGGCCTGGTCTCCCCGGGAGCTGGTGCCATCGGGGCCCTGTTTTGTTTGTGTGGGGGTCGAGGTGAGGGGGTGAATGCAATTGCGGTGGATGCCCAGGATAAGAGAGAGGGGCGTGTTGCGAATTGTAAGTTGGAAGGAAGGGGCCAAAGGGAGGTCCAGTTGGGTGAGCGAAAGCGGTCTAAATGTTTCGACCAAAAGTTAGTGTAACTTTTTTTAAAAAAAAAATATACTTTTTTACAGAGAGGAAGGGATAGAAACATCTATCAGCTGCCTCCTGTACACCTCCTGCTGGGGATGTGCTCACAACCAAGATACCGGTACATGCCCTTGACCTGAACCGAGCCTGGGACTTCTCAATCTACAGGCCAACACTCTAACCACTGAGCAAAACCAGTCAGGGCAGTGTAACCTTTTTGATTTACGTACTAGAAAGAGCTCTGGATGCTAATGTTCATTATGTGGATTCCTTAAGACAAAATGTTTAACCTTCCAGAATTAAACGAACAAACAAAAAAAGACGACTTCAATTTGTGTACCTCCTTGTTGAAACAAGGAATGGCTGGCAAAATTAATTAGCTGTTAGTAATTCGAATATGGTTCTCTTGTTCTCCAGATTAGTATTGTTTTTTGTAAATGTCATGTTAATGCCTCTGGCACCAAATATTTTATTTTGTTTATTTAGGCATCAAGTGTTTATTGATCACATACAAAGTGCCAGGTTCTGGGTGTTGAGTAATAAGCAATAATAATTTCTACAGATAATGCGCATAATGTGAAGTGTAGGCAGTTTCCCAAATTAGTGGTTAAAGTTAATGAAAGAAACCTAACCTTTAGTATGTGTAAAAACGGGAATGAATAAATAAGGCATGAAAAAGTTGTATGTAAATTAGTTGGAACGTAATAGGTTATAAAATTCACAGACTGTTATATTGTAATGAATGGATATTGTTCTGAAGAGATTTGATACAGAGTTAACTCTGAAATGCGTTTTTTCTTTAATTTAGTCAAGGTTTGAATCAGGTATTTATAGATACAAAGTACCATAAAAATATATAAAACCAAAAGAGGACTGGGATAATTTGTCAGAGTAGATGGGAAAGGCACTCCAACCTGGAACAATAACTTATGAAAAGCTTTATTTAGGATCAACTCAAATTATGTGTTAAGAAAGGAAAAAAAGAGCCAAGGCCGGTTTGGCTCAATGGATAGAGCGTCGGCTTGGGGACTGAAGGGTCCCGGGTTCGATTCCAGTCAAGGGCATGTACCTTGGTTGCGGGCATATCCCCAGTAGGGGGTGTGCAAGAGGCAGCTGATCGATGACTCTCTCTCATCGATGTTTCTAACTCTATCTCTCTCCCTTCCTCTCTGTACAAAATCAATAAAATATATTTTTTAAAAAAAGAAGAAAAAAGAAAAGAAAAAAAAGGAGGGAAAGTTGCTTTTCCTAGCTAAGGAATAACAAGAAATAGTGGGAATAGTGACCACAACATTAAGAAAATTCAAGTGAATGTATAGATTAAATTTAGAGACAGTGATTATATTATTTTTCTTTGGGGAAAGGTGCATTATTAATCCTAGTATTTTAAAGCTTATTATCTGGGTAAAGAGAAAACCCATGTGTTTCTTGCCTTTCAGTTGCCTGTTTTTTCCTTCTGCCTTTTTTATTCAATGAGTTCAAACACTAGGCCTTTTCTCCCTAATCCTTCCTTCATCTACCTGAGGTAACTCTTTATTGCTCTTTTTCTGAACTTTTCACAAAAAAAGGCTCATTTTCCCCCAACTCTTTCACCACCTCCTTCACTCATAATATATATTTCATATTCTCCATCCTGCTAACAGTTGCCAGTCTATAAGAAATGAAAGAGCCCAATTGGAGCTTTCTGCTTCTCAAACTAATCATCAAAGATGCCCACGCCTTCAATCCTCCTACATGTAGGGCTTTTGCAGAAATATGGAAAAAGATGAGGGGGAAAAGAAAATTAACCCCTCTTTCATTACAGGGAACAAGTGAAAATCAGATGGTAAATACTCTAAAGTCCATAAATATCACCAGCCTCTGAAAATGTGCCAAGCACTTCAGTCACTTCTGAATATAAAAAATATTTTATAAAAATGCCCATAAGTAGCTACAAATCCCTTGTATATTAATCAGGGTTGTCTACAGAAACAGAAACAACAACACATATACACACACTTACATAAATACACATATTTTATTGTAAGGGGTATAATTTTAATTTGCAATTCCCTGATGACTTGATGTTGAGCATTTTTTCATGTTTATTTGCCATCAGAGTGAGTATGCAAATTAACCCAACCAAGATGGCTGTGGCCACAGAGAGTAAGAGAGAGGCTTGGGTTTCCCAGGCAACGGAAGAAGCCAAGCTTCTGCAGCCATGGCCAACCAAGGCCTCCACTCCAGGATACAAAGTTTCAATTACAGAAGGTAAATAAATCCAAACAGAAATGGTGGCAGCCACAGAGCGAGCAGGGGGCATGGCTCCACTCCAGGCTATAAAGTTTCAATTATAGAAGGTAAATAAATTCCAGATACCAGGGCCTCCACTTGGGTCGCTGGGGAGCAGGCATGGCCAGCCTGCAAACCACCACAGGCCCCTTGCTCAGGCCACCCCATGCCCCAAGAGAACCCCCACCATGATCCGGGACAACCTTCAGAGCAAACCAGCTGGTCTCCACCCATGCATCAGGCCTCTATCCTAAATAATAAAAGATAATATGCAGATTGACCATCACTCTAACACACAAGATGGCTTCCTCCATATGGTTAAAGATCCTGCCCCCATATGGACACAACATGGTCACCACAAGATGGTCAGAGGGGAGGGCAGTTGGGAGGCACCAGGCCTGCAAGGGAGGGCAGTTGAGAGGGAGTAGGTCTGCAAGGGAAGGCAGTGGAGAGAGATGGGGGGAGCAGGCTAGCAGGGGAGGCAGTTGGGGGTCATAAGGCAGGCAGGGGGGGGGGTCACTTGGGGATGAGCAGGCAGGGGGCAGTTGGGGGCAAGCAGGCCAGCAGGCAGAGTGGTTAGGGGCAATCAGGCAGGCAGGCAGGCAAATGAGCAGTTAGGAGCCAGCAGTCCCGGATTGCAAGAGGGATGTCTGACTGCAGGTTTAGGCCCAATCCCTGTAAACTGGCAGCAGGACATCCTTTGAGGGGTCCCAGATTGGAGAGGGTGCAGTCTGAGGAGAGGAACACCCCCAACCTTGTGCATGAATTTCATGCACCAGGCCACTAGTAAATTTATAGTAGTCTTAAAGGTGGATAGCATTAATCTTCTGACTTAGTTTTTCTCCTCCAATATTGTATTGTATATTCTGGGTATTTTGCCTCTCCATAAAATCTTTAGGATCATTTTATCAGTAGCCACAAAGAAACTTTGGCTGGAAGTTTTGATGGGAATTGCATTGAATGTACAGATAAAGTTAATCAGTAGATAGATAATAAAGGTATATAAGATGTGAACAACACTATCAACCTATTTACCCAATTTATATTTATGGAACACCATCTTTTAACAGCATAATAAGCATTTAGGTCTGAAATATTTACCAAGACAAATATTTACCTAGAGCACAAAACAAACTCACTTAAAAGGATTCAAATCAGGAAGGACATCAGCATAATGGTGGAATAGTTACCTCCAGACCGTCTCCATAAAAGGGTGCAGATTTAACAATAAATGGACCATTTAAGTTTATGAGAAATCAATAGATCCCAGTCAAATAGTTCCTGCACCCAAAAGAACTGTGAAACCAACTGCATCAAAACCCAGTAGAAAAATTCATAGCACTCACCTGTAAGTGTCTTACTGCCCAGCCTGATGTGATTTTGCAAGAAACCATCAACTCCCAATTTCTCCCTCTGGAGAGAAAGGAGGGAAATGTGTGTCCAGTATTCTGATTTCTCTGTGAGTTGGCTGAGGAATTGGTTACTATCTTACCTGAATTTAAGCACTGCCAGGAATGAGTGGCCAGTTTGGGAGCTGATGAGAAGTAAGATAATTAATATGCACCAGAGTCCACAGTGTCATAGACAGGAGCTAGGTGTAGGTCCAGTTCCACAATTAACTACACAATCACCAAGGTCTCAGTATTGAGACAGATGCCATGGGAAATCCTGACTATAAAGTGGAAAACCCCTTGAGTTATTAGATTACATACACAAGCCCAAAGAGGTCATATACCCTGAATAAAACTTAAGAGGTTTCCAGAATCTCTAGAAAGAATGATTATAGAGAAAGTCCTCTCTCTATAAAACTAGGCCAGAAAAACTGGGAGAGGAAGATAATTTTTCAAATTCTAACACAAAATAAGACATTCAAAGAAATAAGGAAACATGGCCCATTGAAAAGAACAAAATCTTTTGATATCAAGTTAAAGAAACAGATTTATGGATTACCAAAGAGTTCAAAATAACCATTATATGGATCCTTAATGAATTAAAAGAGAGCATAAATAGATAGACAACTAATGAAAACAAATGAGAACATTAGCAAAGCTAGAGACACTATAGAGTATGCTCAAACAGGAACTCTGAAAGTAAAGAACACAATAATGGAATTAACAAAATTTACTAGAGGAATTCAACATCAGACTTGAACAGACAGAACAAAGAATTATCAAACTCGAAGATAATTTGAAATTACCAAGGCAGAGAAGCAAAAATAAAAAAAAA